AGCTTCAAAAGGTTCTTTCGGTATTTGTCGTCTACTCCGAATTTCTTCCTTAAGATCAGTCTGTGAACGTTGATCTTTATATTCCCGTTTCAATTCCGTACAAAAAGACTCCCACGTGATACTACCTGCCCTTTTATGAAATCACCAATACCAATCTAAAGCGTTTCCTTTAAGAAGAACTGGTAAATTATTACAGACGAGACCTACATCTTCTTGAAGGCTTTCCTTCGCTTATGAGCGGATTCGATAAATAAATTCATCTACACATAATCCTTGATTTCTTCCGTCAAATTTAATATGCCAATTTGGTATAATAGTTCTCACTTTGTCAGTACAAAGCGACCTCTATGAGAACTAACCTGTGAACTTCTAGAGCTAAAAGTACTCCTACTTTCCGGTCTATCAGCTACTGTGTTTGGTGGTGGTACGCTGCTATTGTGGCTTAAATGTACGTTATTTAACATTTGGGACACCGACTCGCATATCATATGATTTAGGCGATCACTGTCTATTCCTGCTGGTATAGAAGATCTAGCTGGACGTCCTCTTCCAGGTCGTCTATTTGTTCTAGCCTTAGAAGGATCTGCTGGTTCGAATTAATTCGAAGAGTTGGTACCTGTTTCTGGGTGCTGTTGCATATACATGCTGTTGCATATACAGTTAGGGGTCTATTTACGGAAATACCTTCCGGATTTTCAGCTGCCAGTAATTCTCTTTCTAACGTTTGACCTCGATTCACAAATTGAAACTGCTGAGGTTGACATGGAATATGACATATTGGACATTCCGGTATATCTGTTAACCATGTAGTTAAACAATTTTGATGGAAAGTATGCTTGCATCTGATTGTAATACAAGGATTTTCCGAATACACTGGTTGTCGTTATCACGGGCGTTACCGTCAGTAACATTCTCTGGAGTATGTCTCACAGGCATCTTACTGTAATCTAATTAAAGTTCTTCACAAATAAATGTTTGGTTTAGCGGCAAGCTCTGAGTTGTGATACGGTATTAACAAAGAAATGTAGACTTACTTATTAATTTAAAAAAATTGTGTTATTGATTCTTGAATAAATTTTCTCTAAAGTTGTTCCGATATGATAAGATTTTAGCTAGGGGAATTCCTTGGTCAACACTACACCTATGAAATTTAATTCCACCAACTATCATCCTCTCTTCTTCTAACCTTATTGAATCTTTAGTTCAAGATCGAGTTTAGGCTACGCTTATTGATTAGTACAAAGTATTACAAAAAACAAGCGGACATGTGAAGTAACAACAGGTCACTTCAGTCATGTATTTCAAATCAAGTCTTGAAATTATTGCACTACCTCATTCCTGAATCTATTTTAAATGAAGCTGATTACATTAGTAAACTTATGTTTGCGGTCTATATTCCGGTCATGAGCCAAAATAAATCGAATTTCCTATCAAACAACCTTTTAACTAATGTACTCGTTGTTGTATACACAAACGCTAACCACTGTTCTTCAAGGGTTTCTAAAAAAAAATCTGATCACTAACAAACTGTTATTGGTTTATCAACATCAGGCTTTGGGGTGCCATTCGTTTAATTTCAGCTTGCCAATAATTATATTGGTAACTGCCAAAATTTTAATAGTGACGAGCCACACTTACTAGTGACATGCCCAACGTTGTTGAGCGCCAATATTTGTAATGGCGGGTATTTTCCGAAAAGGTAGTAGTGTAGTCAGCTTCTATTCTTGATCACGAATACTATTAGATTATATTATATTTAACCCACCTAAAACTTCCGCTCTGCCCAAAATTTGAAAGCCGGCGGGACCCGTCTTAGGGCTAGCAGTCAGTTGGGACGGGGTGAGTTCTTGGCAATCAAACTCTGAACGTCCATCACACTAATATATTACAGAGTCCCTCTATCATAAACTTTAACCTTTGACTCTAACTATTGTTTACTAATTAAATGGGTTACTAAGGTTTGGGTGTATCTACATTGTTTAAAAACACTCTCTGATGTTGTTGAGAGGCTGGCTCTTTACGCTCCCTACCATGGTTTCCGTAGCCGAGTTGTGTGAAACTCCTAATAGAAATGTTACCGAATTATCTTAACCGATGCTTCCCGCTGTGGAATCCAAGTTTACCACATCATTTCCAAAATCTCAATAACAATCTATACATTTCAATGTTCATTATAAAGGTTTATTACAAACTAACGTAATTTGCAGAATTCATTTCTGAGAAAGTGTAATCCATAAATCAGTTGCTGACTGAATGTTGAAAATTCTTCTTACAAACAATATAGGAATAACAATATTTAAGACATGTTTTCACTCACCCATTCCAGTTGCAGTGTTAAAAGCCCTTTCCACGATGCTGTTGGGGCTTAAAATTATTGCATTCGTTTGTGCGTGACTTTCTGGTTAGGCTAAATTCAATATCTTTCGTAATCTATTTTACTTCATGGTTCTTATTTCTTTAAATCTTTTACGTTACGTTACTTAAGAATTATAAACTATATTATTATAAACTAACTATATAATTATAAACTAAATTATACAAATTAATCAGCCATCGCAAGACTGAGGTTTTTGTATAACAAAAGTTTAATATTTCATTAAATTGAATACATCGCATTTCATCGCAATTACAATTGAGCGACTTGTCTGAGCGCTGTCTAACAAATAAACCTTCACGCAAAATCAAGAATACCCATGCCAAACCAAAACAAATTGCTGCTGCGTCTCCTAGCATGTGAGCGTTGCTGCTTTAAGATGTCCATGGGTCGAAATTAAACTCACTTATGCAAGCGTCGAATTTAACCTTACTCGGGTCTGCTGCACATGTCGAATGTAACCTCACTGTGGCTTCTAGTGGGTTCTATGCTCAGGGACGCTGGCCATGTGATTCTCCGATCACTGCACTCTCTACGTTTAGGTTTTTACAGTTCTCCCTGGTTCGCTGCGTTACGCCTAGAGTCACCACTCGGGCTTCCAACTAGGGTCTGTTTTGACGCTAATGCTTAACAAAAAACTAAATCAGAAAACTTTCCTGAGAGGGGCGCGGGGTGCGCGTTATGAAATACTCATAGAGACCAGAAAACTCCCAAGAACTGTTGTTTTCCTTTTCTTGCGGATCCGTATGGATTGCACTACTTGAGTGAAATACACAAACTCTATTACCGTAGGCGGACGTATGAACTGGGATTACGCTTTTAAACGCGTATCTGTACTAAAACCACGTACACTGTTACCGTAGGCGGACGGATTAAAACTTTGGGTTTTCGCTGGAGAAAAATCTAGAACGTCTATTCGGTTCGCCGATCGTTGGAAAAGTAAAAGTATTCCCGCAGTCGCGTGGGTCTAGTTTTTTAGCAAGTTGGCAAGTCTCGTACGCAAGTCGTAGAGTTGAGATTCGATATTGGAAGTATATTCCAATATTTCTAATTGTCGCAAGCTGATTGCTGCTGCACTTCTAATGGTAGTTATAACTTTGATTTGATTTTCAACCATTACAACCGGCACGATAATTTGAGCAGGAGCTGTTGTGGATTTTTATTGCTACTAATGCCGACACGTCGCGGGCAATAATAAAGAGCACTTTGCCATTTGTTTGCGCTAACTTTCACTTGCACTTTATTTTTTATTTGTGTCACTGTCACTAAGTTGCCTTTAAACAATATTAATAATTTTCACCCGGGGGCGCCATGAAAAATTAGATAGTTTTCTAATAAAAAATGTCCAAAAACTGTTGATGGCTAAAATTATTAATTTCCAAAAAAGAAAAACGAACGAAAACAAGAATAACGTTTCGACGGCTCAATTCAATTTAATCGAATAACATTCTATATTTCGACAAAGTACTTAGAGCCTAGCTTAACGAAGGTTGGCGAAGACGGGGCGACTTCGCCGAGAGCGAGAGAGAACTTTATTGTGCTCCCGCCTTCGCCCTAAACTAACTTACACTATGCTTCAAGTTTTAACAACTTTATTATAATTTCATAACTTGATCCAACAGTAGATATGTCAAATTCAAAATAAGTATGAGCATTAAGGGGGTATATACCTTTTCGATTTTTAAAAAATCAAAATTTTTGTACTCTAAATTAAAGAAATATTTTTATTTTTACGGTTTCAGTTGACCGGTTCGTCCTGTGGAATTATCACTCTTCCAAAAAAAGGCGTTTAAGACTATTAAATATTTTTTCACAAATTTTTGCATAAACATTGTCAACAATCTAAACTTTCAGAAAATATAATCATTCATTTAATAAAAAAAATTGTTACTTACATAAAAAAAATTCAAACTTTTCTATTATATTTTCCAAAATTAATGCATCATATAAATAATTTTGGAAAATATAATTTACAGAATATTCTGCAAGGGTATATCAACCTCGGCTCCGCCCGAAGTTAGGTTTCCTTTCTTGTGATACATGTTTTTATACCATGTTAAAGAGTGCCATAATCGCTTGTGACCGACATTTTTTGAATCGGCTGTAAAATATTCTCCAATTGATAAATATTCTGTTTTGGTTTGTGCTACTTATTTCGACCACGCCTGTATATACCAAATTTTGAATTTGAAATGGTTATATATGCTTCCCGCGACGCAGTAACAAGGCCACTAAAGAGCCACATATTTTCTTAGAAGTACAAATTTTGGTCAGAGTAATTTAGAAAAGTTAAATTTTCGAACCAAAAAAAGGTTATTTAAACGGCGGACCAGCGATAAAAGGAAGCCACGACAGGGGTGCTATAAACGAGTACACGGTGGAGGATCATAAATGGTTTGGGCAGGATTTGGGTACACTGGAAAGTGTCCACTTTGTTTTATACCAACTAGAAACAATGCAGAAATATATAAAGAGTTACTAGAAAAAGTACTCATCGAATTTACTGGAGGCCTTTACGTGGATTAGTAGATCTTTTAGCAAGACAACGCGCCAATCCACACGGCTCGAAAAATAAAAGGCTTTGTTACAATGTCCAGCGATCAGCTCGAATCTAAACACAATAGAATATATTTGAGGAATAATAAAATAAAGTTTATTAGAATGGCCACCGGTTTGACACTGTAATTGTCAAATTAATTCTACAATTCTAAAAAAATTGGATACTTCAATGTCCAACCGAAATTAATCAAATTTTAATTAATAACGGAATACATTTTTTTAAAAGTCTTAAAAAATGTTTCCAAAAGTATTTTGAATTTTCATTCAGCATGCACATATACTTATAGTTAAAGTGGTTTATTAAATTTTAAGTTAATCTAAAGGTTTACGAAAACAATATATGTATATATTCAAACGATATAAATAAAATGGAATTTAAAACATTATTTTTGTTTTTAATTGTTTTTCTTTACTTAATTTCAAAGCACATATACTTCTTTCTCTGAGGTATATTTTCAGCCTGCAGTCGAGAATAAATTGGTAACAGCCAATTGGTAATAGCCAAACATCGGAAGCAGTGACTGGCTTGGTTGCCGTCCGGAGACGGTGTTTGTTTAAATTTTGAAGTCCAGTGTAAGGGTCCCTTAAAAAGCTTTTCGTCGCTCATACAAAGTCACATTACATTATTTTATATTAAAAGTTGGTTGTCAATCAAACTTCTTCGAGAAAACTCCCTTTCGACCTTATCGGCATTGCCTCTTTAAATTGTTTTCGCGTTCTATCCTAATATAAATTCTGCTTAATGTTTCAAATATATATACGCTACTTTATACCCTTATTCTCTTAGATTTTAAAAAAAGATTATTTTATGTCATTAGCATGACATTTCACGATAAACAAGTGTAATAATTTACAAAAACGGTATATTTTATGTTTATTGACTATTTTACCAACAGAAAATTGCTATATGCCGACGAATTATTCAACAATTATAACGACCAATCCACACATTCTTAAATATTAATAACAAATAATAATAAATATTTTAATTTTTTCATTTAATAAGGTATCTTACTTAAATGTAAATCCACAGAAATGTATAAAAAAATTGTTTTCTTATAAAGCTAATAAAGTTAACAATATAGGCAGAATTAACACATTAAACGTTTGTGACATCAAATTAGAGGATTTTTGAACTGCTGCTGGATGATCACCTGGTAAAATGAATACAATGTCAGTTTATAAATAAATAAAACATTTTTAAATGCTCTTACCCTGCAAAATGTGAACATTTACAGACTTCGGGTTTGCGTTTGATGGTAAGCAAGAATATTGGCCGGAATCAGCTATTTTTGCACGTTGAATCAATAGATATGAAGTAGTTATGTCTCCTTTTTCAGTTATTACGGACACTCCTCCTCGTGGTGAATCATAATTAATTTCCTGCAAAAAAATTTATTTTATGTATATAAGTTAACACACACAGTTCGCTTTCTAAGAAACTGCCGAACAACAATAATTCCGCTAACCGCGCATTCCGGGTGCAAATACCCGGGGCTCGGCCAGAACACGTGCGCAACGAGTGTTCGCCGTTGGCCGGATATCAGGTGCTGGCACGGCACCTTGCCGACTGTGCTGCATCCAAAGGAAGACCTCAAGCTGCAGCTGGGCAAGCTGCTAGGTTATTCTTAATGAAATCACCAAAAAATAAATTACCGAAAATAAAAGTACAGTGCACCGGAATTAAAATTACGAATTAAAAAAAAAGTTCATCAAAAAGCTATAACCAAAAGTGCAAAAAACTAAATTTAACATAGTTCACAGAAAAGTAAATTGCCAAAAATTGCGAAGTAAAAACTGCAAGAAAAGTGAAAAGAAAAGCTGTAACCAAAAGTGCAGCCAAAAAAAGGGAAAACTACACCGTTCACTAAAAAAGTTAAATTGACAAATAAAATGTTATTTAAAAAAAAAAATCAATCAAAAATTTAAACATAAAAGGTCGTCAAATATTTAAAAAAGAATAATATCTGCAACCAAAGTTTAATAAAATGATAGCAAATAAAGTGCAGCGCAAAAAACAAAAAACACTTAGCAACCAGAGAAAAATGGAGCTGTAGGGAAACCTCTCGCCCACCTCCCAGGGAACAGCAGCAGCGGCAGTAGCAACAGCCGCAGCCGACGGCAAAACACAAACCCACACGATAAAATAAATATCGGAACATGTGAGTAGGCTTTTTGTCCAAAGTGCTTCAAATACAAAACATACTAAATATGGTAAATTCATTAAGATTTACATTTTTCTTAACTTTGATATTTGATTGACGTTATACTTTTACCAAGATTAAACCTTCAATCTCGACAATAATAAATATTTATAATAAAATATTCAACAAGTTCTTGATCGAATACCTTAGTACCCATGTATAGGAACAACGACTACATCTCATCGGATGAAGAAATTTTAGATGAATATAGAAAACTTTTAGAAACAAAGATCAAAAGACATCAACCCTAACAGAGTCAGGAATATAAGGAAGAGTACCGCACCCCATCGATCAGTAGGGCCGCGCATATTGGTTTCAACACTAAAAACTCAGTAGTTCAACAGACAGTAGAATTGCAGGCAGAACAAATTGCTAGTAGGGAGGCCGCCATAGCCGGAGCAATCCGAAGGCACCCGGGAAACCAACATTCAACCTGGCTCTTTTAAACAAAGGCCATACAATAGCGTAGGAAATAGTCAAAGCCACTCACCGTCAGAACCAATGGGGGTTAACTCCTTATCCCGGTTTAAGCAACCTACAACATGGCAAAGAGGGCAGTCAGCACGAACTTATCAAAAAATTATCTTTATGTTAGAGGAAAGCCCTTACGGCGAGAATTATGACTCTGCTGCAAGCGAAACAGAAATAGAGGATGATATGGAAACAGAAGACTCGTGCAAATTTTTAGGGTAATGTCACTGCTTCCCTACATTACACGTACGGTAGCAGGAAGAGAAATAAAACTATTAATCGATACGGGGACCTCGAACAATTACATTACTATACTCCCGAGGCTGAAAGGCGACGTGGCAGCGGATACCCCCTTCACTGTAAGTAGATACAAAATACAAAGTTTCGGTGTTCAATACAAAAACACATTTTTTCCTTTGACGGCATTATCGGGCTCGACTTACTTAAACAAGTAAATGCGAAACTCGATTTTAATGGAAGTACTCAACACACTATCAATGGAATAGAAAACATTCAGCTTATTAGGGTAGAAACTTCATTTTAGAAATAATTTCATTCGATTGTAACTAACTAACTAACTGTTCAAGAATATTGCTTTAAAATTTCAAGTCGATATCTGAAGTATGTACCGAACGTGCCGGAAGGCGTGTCCAAACGATTCAAAACTTTAAACGCGTTTTTCTCGAAAAAACTTTTTTCTGTTTTGTGTACACTATTGAATAAGCTGAACTGAACCGATCGGGCTTTGTGACGGCTCATTCGATAGATAAATTGTTAAATTCTCTTCCACCTGAAAAAAAAATAATTCCATATTTTTCAGTATTTTAAAGTACATTTAAAGTACAGAAGGCCGCCATTGCAATTTCTGTGGCAGGACAATAGGTTCAAGACGAACGCTTCCGCCCTCGCCTCTTAGCCGTAGATTGAATACGTTGGAGTGTGGCTTGCTAGCTGCTGGGCCTGCGACGACTGCTCGTCGTTTCTTGTGTCCTTGATGTCCTTGCTCTGCTCACGGCGCGATATCCTACCTCCGTTGTTGCGTGCTCTTGCAGGACTAGGTGCTGCGAATCTTTGGCTCTCGGGATTTGTTCAGCTGCCTTTCTAGGACTCTGACGGCGAACTACTGTGCTCTCGACGCATACGCCTCTCGAGACACCCGTGGTTCGGACGCGCGTCCTTCGTGGCTAGTCGCACCAGGGCCTGCACAATTTTCGCCTGACGGTTCAGGCGGACGCCGGAATTCGTCAAGGCAATTGTTTTCGCACGGCAGCTGGTTCTAGACAACTTCCCTTCCGAGCCCACGGTTCTTTGTCGAAGGACTCTTTTTGTTCAATTCTGCCGGACTCGCCGAGCAATACGCCAAGCTCAAATCGCGACAAGAATTGGAACAAAGCGCCTGGATTTAGCCTCGGAATGACTTAAGGACCTCAGCTACCTGTTTCTCAGCTCGGAGACTTGAACTCTAAGTCCCGAACGTCTTGATGTAGCGATCTTGCTCCTTGTTGACTCGGCGCGACTCAGCTTGCTCCTGCTCTTGACGTGACTTTTGTTGTTCACTGATCTGCTGCTTGTTTACTGATTGACGGATTGACTCCTTGTGATCGGCTGATCCAGATTCCAGCGCTGAACCCGCTTATATAGGACTCTTGGTACCGTTAATCCATGGTGTCTCCTTTTTCATCTTTGCGCACGGCACTATACTAGGGTCCGACGTCTTCTACCGTTATCCCTTCTCTCCAAACTCTCTCTCCCCTCGTACTCTCCAAACTCTTTCCAGCTGTATTCTCCAAACTCCCTTCTCGTTCTCTCCAAACTCACTCCAGCTGTACTCTCCAAACTCTCTCCAGATGTATTCTCCAAACTCTCTCCAGCTGTATTCTCCAAACTCTCTTTTCCCACGGTGCGTAGTTATTTAACTCCTCACAACATCATTGTCTAATATTTCATTGCCTTTGAAAGGGGAAACTGAGCCTTTTGATAGCATGGTAATAAATGGAGCAAAGTGTGAATTTTTTCGAGTGTGATGTAAACGATATTTTCGCTTATCTTTATTTCTGGCCTCGAGAACTTCTTCTGACATCATACCTATCGGAAGGGCAAAATGTTTTATTATTTCTGCACCATGCATTAACATTTTATAGACAGATGTAGGCCTGTAAAAACATGGATACAAGTCCACAAATATTATTGGGGTTTGCAATGCAAAATGTTGAAAGGCTTCTGTAAAAATTTCATATCCACATGCTGAGGTGCGTAAGATTACGCTGAATCTATCAATTAATACAGAGCTTACTCCGGTAATTTTGGCAGCCGTTTTTGGTTCTTTGAAAAATCTTCTGGCTGGGTTGCCGTTATTAGTATTACCAGAGCCAGGCTTGGGAACATCAACCAATATGCCTATTTCCTTTCGCAAATTATCTTGTATTTCCTTTTTTCTAATATCTAAAGCTGCTTTTTCCGCACTGCGAATTTATAGCTAATATGTAGAATGCAATCAAGAAAACGAATTCAAGCGTGTAGACTTGATAAGCCATACTCATACAGGTTTTCTTTGCTCGGCAAATTTTGTATATCAATAAGATTCATTTTTTCATTTTTTTTTTGTTCCACATGTTTCACATACTAGGGATGGTGATTCTGCCAGAACACTGAAAACTTTTGCATTCATCACGTACCAAAACTGATGTTTCTTTAACACAAAGCAATTTTACTGGCCTGCAATAAAGTGTGCTTCATCATATTTCAGAGTATTTCATCATATTTTTCCGGAGTATTGTTGATCCAAGAACTATTTGTAGTGGTACCAAGCACACCGAAAACACATTTGCGTTATACAATCTCACAACTGTGTGATCAACCAAGCTTTGTAAGGGTACCTCGAATGAATGATCAGTGCCGTTTAGACCACTAGGATAGCACTTTTTTTTTCAGGCAGTAGAACATCGTACGTCAGAAATATATTTGCATTCCTTGTGTAACCACCATCAATATATAAAGCTAAGACTTCCTCTGATGTGTACTTAATCGGTTGGTTATCAGCTGATTGAGTAGCTAATATCATTTTTTTGGGCAAACTTTCATCAGAATTTAATAACGTAATCATCTTAGTTGCACTTCGTTTGCCAGAACTATACAAACTAGTACTAGCCGCAGATACGAGCTCTTTCTCCTGGCTGTCAGTAAAAGTAAGTTCGGGTCGTCCAGCATTTGATCTTAGGTTCACCAATATAAGCTGATCATTTAACCATTCTTTGTTGCGCATCTCAAAATTCCTACATATATTTCAATGCCAATGTTTTAGTAAAATTTTTTATTTTCTCAGTTATTTTGGCGCAGTCACTATCATTATATATATTTCTGTTTATAATACTGTCGTAGACGTACATATGTCTGCCATACTGAAATTAGCACGCGCTTGGACACTGACAATGAGGCTAAAAAAAATATATTGAAAGGTAATATGCGGCTCATGTTGGACATTTTCACAGCGCAAAACGTTGACTAATTTTTATAAAAAACATTGATATCAAAAGTTCTGGTCTACGAAAGTTTAGTTTGTTAGTAAACACTACACCTCATAAAATTTTGGGACGAACAATCAGAGGTCACAAACACTTATTTTGTAGTTAATTACATACCTTTTTCCATATTTAATAGCAAAAAGTTAAATTGCACTGAATAAAATCAAATTATATGCAAATTTTAGCA